TTTTACTCTTTCTCATAGTCTCTCCCAAGGATTATTTCAATGGCTTCCGAAGAACAAAGCAGCCCCCTCAGACAATCTTCCTTTGGTTCTGATCCATCGAATCTCAACTTTCGAACTATCCTTCAAATCATCGCTTCAAACCCGATTCTGTCTCTTCGACCTGTTAGACCCCTAATTCTTCTCTCCACAAACCCAATCTCTGGTCACATCCGTACGGTTCCTCCTCTGCCTCGGTTCCTCCCTCTTCCTTCTGACACTCTTGATTGCTTCCCCTCCGTCCAGTGCATCGTCGGCTCTAGCGTCGGCTTCGACCACGTCGACCTTGCCGCCTACTGCCGCCGTGGTATCACTGTTATCAACGCTAGCGACGCCTTCTTCGTCAACGCCGTTGACCACTTTTTTCCTGAAATAAGTAATTCATTTTCGCCATGCCATTTTCAATGGTTGTGCAAAACTAAGAAATTTCACAATTTTTTATAGTTTTAAATTGAGAATACTATCAGTTTAAAACTGAAAAAAATGATAATATTCTCAGTTTTAACACTAAAAAAAATTAAAAATTTTCGCAATTTTACTGAATATTTTTGCAAACTGAAATCATTCTCAATTTTAAATTGAGAACATTCTCAGTTTTGGAATTGAGGATGTCTCAGTTCTTACCTACAAACCAAATCTCCAGGCCCATCTCTTTAGTTGATTTAATATGCTTTGTTTTGAACCTTGAAATAGATTTCAACTCAAAATCCTCAAACATAAATCTATCAAACGTCGAAATCAATGTTTGTATAATAGTGAATCAAACCGAGAAATCCTTTGAGATCCTTCGAAATTGTATCTTCATCCACTTCTCATAACTGATTTGATTTTGTTTTTAGGAAATAACGTCAATGTTGTTATATATATATATATATATATAACTGTTTGAATTGAAGGGCAAAATATCTTTTTATTTATAAATAGGACTTATTGGTTCAAAAACTTTTAGACATGACCTAAACTATTACCAAATATGTGGATAGGGCTTTTAGGTAATTAATCCAAGTTTTTATTTTTATTTTTATTTTAAATAAAGCAAATTAAAGAACGAAAGAAAATGTTATCAATAGGTCTTACTTTTGAATATTATTCATTAAATCCTATTGAATCTCTCTTATTTTTATAAATAAATTTATAGCAATAAATTTATTAATTAGAAAGTGTAGTTAATAAGATTGATTGGTAGGTGTTTTTAAAAAAAATCGAAGGATAGAGGAAATGGGGCAAATTAATATTTGGAAAGAAATAAAACAGCAACCTTTTGGCTTATTTTCAAAAAATCAAAAGTTAACTTATTTGAGCAAAAATCTATTTGTAAAGTGAGAAATACAGGTGAAATTACTAAAATATTTTTGTTTGTATGATTTTTGACAAAAGCACATCAATAATATATAAGGATAATATGATAAATTTATAATTTTATAAGTGATGTGATATCATATAATAATAATTTTTAGAAAAACAAAAAAATTGCTTATACATTATGGGTGTGTTTGGTAACGTTTACGTTTTCAGTTTATATTTATAAAAATTTTATAAACTGGTTTTTGTTTATTTTTTGTTTATTTTTAGAAAAACATAAACTACAAACGCGTTTGGTAATTGACAAAATGTTTAAAAAAATTTAAAAATATAAAAAAGAGTGAGAAATGGCAAGTGGTGGCAAGTAGCGGCGGAAGACGGTGGTGGAAAGTGGTGACGGTGGGTGGTAGATAGCTAGTGGTGGTAGTGGTAGGTGGGTGGGTGACGGTAAGCCAATTCTTCACCTGGGTTGGGAAGGTATTGAATTCTCCTTACACTTTTCAGTCATTGTTCTTACAAGAATTGAGAGAGGGAGAGAGAGAGAGAGAGAGAGAATATCTGAGATTGGAAAGAAGGGAAGATTTGTACAAATATAATTGGTTCCAAAGAAGGGAAGGGGAAAAGGATAGGGGGTTTCTTGGATCTCACGTAATGTTATGCTTATTATAGAGGGAATAAGTGTTGTTGGATCGTTTTTACGCTGTCTAAAGGTATCCTTGAGATGATATAATAACACTGAATTTTTATAAATTAAATTTTTAATAAGAACAAGTAAAGATGAAGATGGAAAATAGTATTGAGTGGAGATGAAGTAATCCACTGTTTGACCATACAGAGAGAGAGAGAGAGAGAGAGAGAGAGAGAAGAGGGATTTCAGTTCTGGTGTCACCCTAGAGTGCACACGAAGAAAGAAGTTTTAAGCAAAAGGAGCAAAAAAATAACGGAAAAAGAAGAGAGTTTATAACTCAATTTCTTCCGGTAGACTTCTCACGTGTCACAAGAAACCTCTGCCTCACTCTCCTCTCTAGAAATTATTACATTAAGTCGGAATGAATAATATCAGGGATCATGAAAAAAAATATCATGAAATATTTTATGAATAATTTTTTTTTAATATTTTTTTAACTTTTGATAATTTAATGATATAAACATTCACATAGCACATGTATAAATAAATAATCAAAAATTAATTTTTTGAAAATGTATAAATCAAGACATAATAAATTCAACAAATAAACAAATAGAAAAAAAATGGACAAATATAATTTTATACAGATAAAATTTCAACAGATTCAATTGAATAGATAAAAAAATTGATCTGAACAGATAAGAAATGGAAATATTTCAATAGATAGGCAACATTTAATAATGAAGAAAGTCAAAACAAAAACAAAAACAAAAAACAAAAAACAAAAACAAATAGATAATAAAATATGTTCAAAATTTGAACAGATAAGTGAAAAGTTGAATAGATAATAAAACTTGGACAGATATTTGAACAAATAAAAGAAAAAAAATTGAACAGATAGGAATTTTTTTTGAATAAATAGATATAAATTTGAACATATAGAAAATAATTTGAACAAATAGATATAAATTTGAATAGATAGTCAACGAAA